ATATATATATATATATATATATATATATATATATATATATATATATATATATATAGGTAAATAGATACAATTATTTAAGTAAATGCTCTGTTTATAATAAACAGTATTATAAATATTAGATAATTTAAGTAAATCCTCTGTTGAGCATTTACTTAAATATTTGTATCAATAAATAACGTATAAACAAAATATATATAATACATATATCTTTCTATATGTATGTATATATATATATATATATATATATATATATATGTGTGTGTGTGTGTGGGTATGTGTGTGTGTGTGTATCGAAAAATGTACGCAAAAAATTAACATACCACGATAGAAAATACGATACACTTAATTATTATTAAAAGCAAAGATCATTATGTAAACATTATTTAATCCATTTTACAACCTTCGAAATTATGCTTAAAAGTTTTGTTTTTCTAGACACCTGTTCAAATCTTACAAACAATTCCACACTTAAATGATTTGAAATTTGAATAAGAAATGAAAACCAAAATGAAAGAAAATTATTGGAGTAGCAATACAGTTAAATTGTTGTCGGCCTTTGAAAATCCCCATACCGTTAATTTATTATCTATATTCAAGTAAGTTTTATAAACAACACCATATTTAAATTACCTCATATTTGAATTAAAAATAAAATTAAATGAAGAAAATTATCATAGTAGATATAGTTATTCTATTGACTAAACCCAATAGACTTACAAAAATCAACAGATTCAAACTATTTAAAATTTGAATAAGAGAAGAAATCCAAATGAAAAACAATTATCGTAGTTGACATAAAGTTAATCTATTGTTTAAACCCAATCAAGTCTTTCAAATAACACCATACTCAAATTAGCTGAAATTTGAATAAGAAAGTCAAATGAAAGACAGTTATCGTAGTAGATATACAGTTAAACTCTAATCAGTTTTGTGCCACATTTGAGCTAAACTTTGAAAATCACCATACAGTTAATCTATTGTCTATAGCCATTTGAAATTTGAATAAGAGAAGAAATCCAAATGAAAGACAATATCATAGTCGATATAAAGTTAATCTATTGCTTAAAGCCAATCAAGTGTTTCAAACAACACCATACTCAAATTAGTTGAAATTTGAATAAGTGTAGAAAGTCAAATAAAAAAAACAACTATCGTAGAAAATAAATCTATATAATAAATCTATTGTCTACACACAATCAAGTCTTATACTTAGCACCACATTCAAATTATTAAAACTTATAATAATTTTTTTCATCTTGTTATTCAGAGTTTAATACAATTCACTTCAGTCTTTCAGATATCGCAACATGATAATTATCTTGAATGACAACTCTTTTGTATCTTTTTATATTAATGCATATCTCAATCCAATAATCTATCCTTGGACTAATTGTTCCTAATTTTCATCAATGAGCTTCCTGATGTCTTCAGTTCTATGGTGATGAGAAATATTTACTCCTGTTTTAATATTGATTTTCAACGGACCGATAAGTTCAAATTGGCAGCTGATCTCAAAAATGACATACAATCTGCTGCTAATTACAGCAATGAATAGCTTGTTAATTTTAAAGAGTTCAAATCTCCTATCATATTAATCAATTGTGAGACCCATTTCTGCCTTCCAACAGCATGGATAATGCTAACCTCCAGGAGAATGACTTACTGCCCTTTCCCGGTATATCAATCACTGCGGTAATGAAGTTAAAAATTATACTGAATCAATTGCTAGGTCTGCTGCTAAGAAGGTCGGTCCACTGTATCGTGCTAGACAATTTTCTCTCTAGAATCTACAGGGTTATTCAAAAAGAATGAACAGATTTAATTACCCAATATTTTAATAAGGAAAAGCAATAGAAAACTCCAGCCAAGTCACAAGTATTCTACTCACAATCAACTTTTATTTCCTGTTTTACAGGTGGCCACCACCTGCAGCAAGGGCAACATCAATGTGATAAGAGAATTCCTCCCAGACATGTATCACGATCTACTAACTTGATCGCTGTTGTTATTCAATGTTTAATGTCATCGAGGTTAGTGGGTAACGGTGGAACATAAACGCGATCTTTTACGTATCTCCACAAGAAAAGAAAATCTTACACATTGAGGTCTGGGGATCTCACAGACCGAGAACAAAGAGCAAGGTCTTGATAAGTGCCTGAACCAGGCGTAGTCTGTAAGGTTTCAAGGGTAGACATCTTAGCACACGCCAGATTGAATGGTCAGTGGACTTTCTTCAAACGCTGCACGGGTTCTCAACACTTGTTCCTCCGAAATTCGTGGTCGTCCTGGACTTTCTCCTTTACACAGACACCCACTCTTTTGAAACTGTTTAAAGTACAGTCGAATGTTCTTAGGAGAGGGTGGATTAATGTCGAATTGCTTTCGAATAGCCCTCTTCATTGTGACAACCATATTTGTTTTCGGGAACTCGAGAACGCAGAACGCCTTTTGTTGAGGACTCTCCAATCCGAGAGTAAACAAACAACAGAACGTTGCCGAAGATAGGACGCGACTACTGCACCCCTGTAGCAGCCATTCAAAACTTAGACACTCCTCTTTCAAATGGTCACTGATTCATTCTATGACGATGTTTGAGAACTGAAGCAATGCATAGTGAAATTGCTTCATTTTTCTTTTAATAAACCTGTATATTACTGGTGTGACCTTCTTGGGTCCAGAAATAACGACACAAAGAGAGGAATTGATTAGGAATATATTAACAGAAAACCAGTAATACAATCTTATACAAACGAGCAAGAATGTTATTCCGACTGTCAGAGCGAACTGCTGGAAACTGCACTCTCTAAAAATCAGTACCTGGTCTTATTTGGAACTGCAAGAGTGGTTCTGTGCATGGGCAAATTACCATAATACCCCCTCCTAAGTATTATCTCCGTTGGAGTCTCAGTATCTTTTCATTTTTGATTAACGACGATAACTTTCGACATTTTCCTTTTCCTATTTAAACGGCGTTGCTTCGGGGCCGCTTGAGGTATTGGATGTCATAAATGACATCCATTACTTCTTTTTCTTCAGGACTGCTATCAGCATCGTCCTGATTTGGTTCAAATGTCTCTTGTGAGTAAACTGTGGACCTTTAATTATGTAAACCATATTTTCTACTCTTTTGACAATTGTACCCATTTCCCAGAAAGATTTATTTTCCTGAAACATCCGGAAAAAAATTCTCCTCCGGGTTGGTAGTGTTTTTTTTTTGTTTTGGTACCGTGTTTGTTCATCCGAGTTTTGTTTGTTTGATGAGTAGCTTGTTGAAACACAGATCTGATTTTACACGCAAACATTACCTCGGCTGGAGGTAATGATGATGGTGTGTTGTCGTTGGGCGTAATTCTGCATTACTGTAGGGCTTTTTTCTGTGGGTGTGTCCCTAGCTTTCTTCAGGGCTCTTTTCAGCGTATCAATGAAGCGTTCATCCTGTCTGTTGGACGTTTGAGCGATATAGGGCGATTGTAATATGATTGATCTGGAAGGTCTCACAAAAATCCTTAAATCGCTGGATGTAAATTGTGTTCCATTGTGGGACACTAGACAATTGACTACCCGAAATCTGACGAACAGTTAGCGTAGAAATTTGATTATAACTTCTGTAGTGGGTTTTCTACATCTAAGAACTTCGGGCCATTTCGAAAATCTATCTACTACTATGAGATAGTAGAATCCGTCTAACGGGCCCGCAAATACACATGTATTCGTGACCATGGTCGGTCCGTTTAGGCCAAGCATTATATTTGATTGGGGGTGCCTTAGCTGTCATGGCACAGCCTTTACTGGATTTTACGATGTTTCCAATATCCTTGCCCATGTTCGGCCACTACACATAACTGCGCATAAGGCTTTTGGTCCTTGAAATCTCTGGATGGCCGACTTGGAACTCTTTCAAAATTCTTCTTTGTAACGTTGTGGGAATGACAACTTGCTCACTATATAGCAGTACTTCGTCACATAGGGAGAAAATATCTGAACTCTGTTGGTTCTTTTCACGAATTTTGATTTTGGTTTGTCTGATAAACTCATCGTTTAGAGCTTCTTGTTTGATTTGGTCGAGAGTTACAGGGAGTTCTCTTACTGTGTTGCATAATGTGGTTTTAATTTCTCCTTCTGTTCGAAGAGAAGCAATCATAGTATTTTTCAACAGGTTCCCTGTGTTTCTGAATTAATCTGGATAGTTCGTCGGCATGACAGATTTTAGACTATAGGAACTCCATCTTGGAGTTAATTTAAGAGGATTGTTCCCCATCTCCGTAGTCTATTTGCTGTATGCACAGGCAGACCTTTTTAGAACCGAAAATGGTAAGTAATGGTTTATGGTCCGTCTGCAATGTAAAGTGTCTACTGTGAATGTACCGGTGAATCTTCGTTACTGCGAAAATAATCCCTATCTTCTCTTTCTCAATTTGGGAGTAGATCTTCTCTGCTGGAAGAAGTGTTTTCGACGCGTGAGCAACTAGTTTGTGATATCCATCTGGCATCTTGTGCATAATACATGATCTAATGCCATACGAACTGGCGTCGCTGGCGTCGCTGGCGTCGCTGGCGTCGCTGGTAACTATAATGTCCAGGTCTGGGTTATAGTGGTTGAGAAACAAGCCCGACGTTAAGACTTCTTTTATTTTGACGAATGCTTCCTGGTATTGTAATGCAGAAAAGTTTTCGGGAGCTGGCATGTCCTTGATTGCAGTAGCCCGTTCTGGGTCTGATCTTTGCCATTTTTTGTCGATAATGTGCTCCAAGTATTTAATCTTCTCCATAAAGAATTCGCATTTTGATTCTTTCAATTTGATCCGTACTCCTGAATTCTTGAGAACATGTTCCTTGTATTGTTCTACATTTTGGCTGTTTATTAATATGTCGTCCAAATGTGCAACGGGAAGTTAAGACAGCATAATGTCCATTAATTGTTGGAAAATCTCTAACTATATAGCAGGAATGGGTACTATATTTATGTGGAAAAGATGATAAGATTTAGTGGAAAAGCTCTAGATGACTTTTAAATTTAAAATTCAATTCCATGAACAAAGAATAGAATTTTCAGAAATTTATCATTCAGAACCAATAAAACCCGATTAAATGCCGATTGCAAAAAGATTTATTTCTGCGTAATTTTCCTGTTTTTATCTTCCAACATGAATCATTCAAGTTTTTTTTTAATATTTATGACAAATACTACATATTGATATTTTTCATACTATGTAGGTATGTTTGTTTTTTATAGACAGAAAGAGAAAAAAGAGAGATAGTGAGTGTGTGTGTGTGAGAGAGAGAGAGAGAGAGAGAGAGAGAGAAAGAAAGTATTAAATTACGAGAAACTGTTTTTAAGAAATCTGGATATTAGCGAATCGCAACATACTTGTAAAATCTTGGGAATCTTTTAATCATTTAATCGGCGTTCTAATGTTCGCCAGCTTAAACTGTAATTATTAATTTTTAATTATTTTTTTTTTTCAGAATGGCACAGACAGACACAGGTTCATCTGAAAGGCCAACGATAGAAATGGAATCAGAAAAAGACCCTGATGTTGAAAACGCCGGACAGATCCCTGATGGAGGTTGGGGTTGGGTCGTTTGCTTTGCCGGATTTATGATCAATTTTACTACCGTGGGAATGATTTCCTCAAATGGAATTCTTCTACTTGCAATGGTTGATATTTATGAAGACACTATATCGAGAACAGTCATCGTCTGTTCTGTATTCATCGGAATAGTGAATGGCTCAGGTAAATGATTGATTTTGAACGTACTTATGTACAATTTTAAGCAAAAGCTTGTCCCTATTTTGAAATTCTTTTATTTAATAGGTCCGTTTGTGCTGCTTCTTATGATGTTTCATGCAAGCCATCGTCAAGTTATTATTTGTGGGGGAATTTTTTCTACCCTGTCAACCATTGCAAGCTTTTTTGTCAATAAAGTTGAAATACTTTATGTTACGTATGGCATTCTCGCAGGTAGGTAGAAAAAGGTTTTATGTAAAAGAGGTATCACACCTTACTTTTTTCTCATTTCTACTTCCTTTTTCACACCAACTGTAATTTTCGCCATTGATAGAATGAGAATATGTCTTCTCAATAATCCAGGGATCCTTTCAATAATCCAGCCTTATCCATTCAATATTCCTGAATATTTTATTCATGTTACACTTCTTGCATTGCCATTTTCAGTTCAAATTCTCAAAGAATCTCTTAATTCTACAGTTTTTCTGTCCTATGCAATTATTTTTCCTACTATATTCATTTTATTCTGCTTGAATTAATTCATTTTCAGCTCGTCTCCGTCCTATCATCCGCGTTTATATAGAAATTCGTGATTATTTCATGTTGCCTAGTTAAATTCTTTCTGTTGCTTATTGCTACTCTTTTTTTGTATTAGTAACATTGAATATATGACTCTGAATTACTGTATAATTCTGTATACTTTATGCCAATGACTTTTACTTATCTCTATCTATAAAAAGCAGGATGTGTGTGTGTGTGTGTGAATGTGTGTGTGTGTGTGTGTGTGCGTGTGTGTGTGTGTGTGTAACGAATGCACGGCCGCAATTTTCGACGGATTTGCACCAAAATTTACATGCACATGCTCCAAGTTAGCGGAAAGGACAAGACCGACGTTGCATTTCCCAACTCCCAACGATAATGGAAATAATCGATTTTTCATGCTTCTACGGCAGTTTTCATGTAGTTTGCGGGCATTTTGTACTGGCCAGAGTGAGAGCCAATAGCTGGCTGCCACGAATAGGCAGGAAGATTATATTGGCCAGCGTGAGAGCCAACAGATGACTGACACGAATGTTAACTAGCATGCTAGCATGTAAAAAAATCGATAGCTGCATTCGTCACAAGTGGGAAAAATTAAATCTGCATGGCACTTTACTCCAATTGGCTCATTTGCTTGCTTAAACTCAACGTTGATTCTGATTCCGCAGAACTGGGTTGGGTGTGAAAAAGTATTTGTTGTTAAGATTCTTTTTTTATTCGTTTTTTCCAGTTAAGAGTTATTTTTTAAAGCTGATCGTTTTGTGTTCATTTTGTTTAGTTCTTTTTTCGTAAAAGATTTAACGTTTAGTATAGAGCTAAGAAAAAATTCGCAGTGTGAGATAGGCAAGAAGTAAGGCATGTAGCAACATCAGCACGGAAAAGGGTACTTCTTTAAAGGCAAGGAAGGGCAAAAATATTCTAAGTCAAGTGATAGCGATTGCTGTATGAGTCGTACGATTTTTGAATCAAGCACGGGCAACGCCGGACCATGCTGCTAGTAATCTATATCTTGATACTAATATCTTAGGATAAATCTGTCAAAACATTATTTTATTTATGGACACATTAAGAGGCATCACTTTTACGCGTCTATATAAGTGGCACAGAGTTGAAAAGCAAGTTTTACGGTTTGAATAAACAGAAAACTGCGAATAGTTTAATGAGAAATGAATGGAGCCTAATCCCAACTGCGAACATTTCCTTAAATCCTTTTGTTCATATTTCACACAACTTCTTGTCAAAAAGGTAATCACGAATATATTTCTTTTATATACATATCTGCACAGATATGTAAATACATCTGCATTAAATCTGAAATGTAGCTTTCCAATTCCACCTTTTACTCGGATATTACAAAAATAAGACCGAATTCTGTTTCAACCATCATGCAAGCCACAGGCAAACTCGGCTTATGATACTGAATTTAATCATTACTTTGTAAATTAAAGATCATTTCTTCAAAGTATATTCCTTAGTTCAAGTTTGTTCTTCCGTGTTACTTCATAAACGGACATTGTATATTTTTTCGGTATCTCTTTTATAAGAAGATACCCTATTCATTGACTCTCTCGTTTTCTAGTTTATTTCTTTTATTTTCATTACGTTTGTCATTCCTTCTTTCAGGCGCCTTCGTTGGTATGTCCTGTTTTTCCGGCTTCGCTATCGTTGGATCTTATTTTAAAAAGAAACGCACAATTGCCATGGGAATCGCCAACAGTGGAGCAGGATTTGGTGCATTTGCCCTTAATTACTTACTAGAACGAAGCATTTCCTTTTATGGTATAAGAGGAACATTTTTATTAATAAGTGGATTGTTTCTGAATTTTGTTGTATATGGCGCCTTATGTCGTCCCCTCAAGAACTTCAACGTCAGTTTGAAAAATAAGAAGGTAAATGGTAAGTGCACTCTCAAGAAAGACATTTATCAGAAATGAACAGAAAACGCATGAAACACACACACACACACGTGTGTAATTGAACAGAAACATATAAAGATATATGTCTTGGTATGCGCAGGATTTGTTACTATAACTCTTTATTTTGGTTTCTCAAAGAAACAGATCCACAATATCGACAGCTAAATTTGGGATTTCAGATTTAAATTGAAAATCAAACATTACGAGTTGATCAATTTGTTTTCTTTTTCTTTTAAATCAAATGAATTCTTCTGTCTTTGCGATTAATAAAAATATATGTAATTGATTTTTAATTATATTTTTCATGTGATTAAACATACAGATTGAGACATACGTATAAAACTTGTAGATAATTCGTTCAAGGAAAGGTCATGACCCCAAGATTTTAATCCTAATCTAAATAAAACTAATGAATTGAAGGAAAATATACTTCCCTTTCATTTTCATTCATGAAACGTTCAAATTTCTCGTTTCAATTCAGTTAGTTTGCAATTTCATTGCAAACATGGAAAAACAGTCAAACATTGCCAGAAGGCAAGACTAAAGATGTATTTATTTTGCTATAATTTATATGAATTCTGCATTTTTAACGGAAGTAATCATTCTTTGTGTTAATCCATAACGGAAATAACGTCGTAAAGCGCATACGTAATCAGAAATGATCAGCCATGAATTTTTTCCCCATCGTTCGAAATGAATTTACATTTTTTTAATCATTTCTCCGCAAGCAAGGCGATAAAGCCACTAAGATTCAAGGTTTAGCTAAGAGTAAAAGAAACTTACAAAACTTTATTGAATAGAAAAGACAATAAAAGTAAAAACAGATTTCCTGGAGACAAGACGATGATTGACGTTGCATTAAAATTTTCAAAATCATAGCAGGAAACCGAGAAGGCGGAAGAAACTTCTACAATTGAGAAGTACGAGGAAATAATCTTACGTTTACATGGAACAATTAAAAGATTGATATTATGAGGCCCAGTAGCCAATCTAGTACTACACTTAAATTCATGAAGTGGATGTACTAAAGACGAAAGCTCATCAGGACAATTACCATGAAAATATTTATAGAAAATACACAAGAAAGATACGCTACAGCCGTAGAAATGTAACTGAAACCGGTCAACTGATACAAGGAAAGGTCCAATAATATTGCAGATTCTTCTTTGGATTTTGTCATGAATTTCTATATACATAGCAGAAGCACCAGACCAGATATGGCATCATCCATAAAATTCAGTCATTTTTACATCTTCGATAGTCGACGAGCAGATCATTATAATTGTAGTTTGTCCGATGCACACTAGGTGATCCTCACTTGTAGGCATAGCTTGTTATAACATTTTTAATGTCATATATATTCAGTACGTAAGCGATAATGGCCCTCCACAGACTTCTTTTCTTTATTATATGTAAATCGCCAGGCATTTTTTGGAAATATATTTCATTAGTGAGAACTTTAGAATAATACTTCTCTTAGACTTGTAACCACTCAAAAGCTAATGTGACCTTGATATTTAATCCATAGTTGGGAGAAGAAAGATGGATTCATGACTTTCTTAAGGGAATTTCTGCGAATGTGAATTCAACTGACCAGACCGGAAATTGAACTCGGCTTAACGATTTCATTACACGATTCACACATCCGTTCTAATATTAGTAAATACAAATAAGGTTAACAGGCGCGTCTCGATGATCATTCAGTCTGTTCGACTCTCAATGGGGATATTAATTTTGTAACAATGTGCCAGTCTCACTTATTTACAGTCTTCCTTCTGGAGACGCTTTAAATGAAACGTGAAAATGAACAAATTAAATGTATTTAAATGAAGTGCATAATGATAAAAAAAATTCTAACGTTATACCCAGATCCAAATAAAATCACATTCCAGATATACTTGTTTGTTGATATTGTTTGCTATTTACCCACTGACGCCAGTAGCCAGACATTTAACGCGAATAGAAGCCAGAATTTCAAATGTTGATTTTCAAAGGTGACAAGGATTCTGATTTAGAAACCTGGCGCAACGCAATCATCCAAGAGTCTATTTCATATCATTTTTCGTTATTAAGATAGTTGTAAAAAGAATTTTAAAAAAAAATTCTGTTTTACTTCGAACTGAGGTAAATATAATTATAATATGAGTTCACTATATTCTGAAGATAAGGAGAATATCATTTTATTTTGAGGATAAGGAAAATATGAGTTCATTATATTCCGAGGATAAAGAGAATATGAGTTCATTATATTCTGAGTATAAGGAGAATATGAATCACTATATTCTGAGGATAAGGAGAATATGTGTTAATTATATTCTGAGGATAAGTAGAATATGAATTCACTATATTCTGAGAATAAGGAGAATATCAGTTCACTATATTCTGAGGATAAAGAGAATATGAGTTCATTATATTCTGAGGATAAGAAGAATAGACATCGAAATATTAAGAAAACAAGTAAAAATATTCCCTAGGAAACGCATTTTGAGTGCCCAGAAGCATATTTTTTTGAGCTAATAACACACACACACAGGCATATATATATATATATATATATATATATATATATATATATATATATATATATATATATATATATATATATATATATATATATATTGTTGTAGAATGGAAACAGTCAAATATAAGCAGGTGTGTAAATATTAATCGTACCTAAAAAGTTAAAATGAAAACATTTAGTAACAGAAAATCCGTCTATCTTATTCAATTTGAAAGGGCCTGTATTCCTTAAAAATCGGTATTTGATCATTTTAGAAAAGCAGCAATTACTTTTTTCATCTTAATTTAAGATGAAAAATTAATAGGCAAAAATTAATAACGATATTAAATAGATATTATATTTTATTTTTACAAAACCAGTGAAACCAATAACTTTACAAGGTATGGAATAAAATAGTTGATTATTTGAATGAATCTCAGAAAACAGACAATTTTTTTTTAAATTCTTGTACTTTTATCAAATCAGTATACCGTCTTTCATTCCAGAAGTTGTATTGAAATCTGTGAAAATGCTCCAAACAGAAACGAACTTAGGATTCGAGCCAGACGAAGAGACACGTGAAAATCAAATAAAAACCAACGTAAATATTTATGCTTTTCTTTCTTCTTATAGACTTCCTTAGACATTGTATAAATATTTTGTGAAAAATAGACTCATTGTTTTAAAATGATTTTATATAGCTAAAGAAATTATTTCAGGAATAGGATTTGAACTAGAGGTATTAAAGAAACCAATGACTTAACTTTACATTCATTTCTCTCTTGATATTCTTGGGCAAATATATATGTTTTAATTATATATTTACAGTATTTAATAAATTACTTAACTTTAGCATAGTATAGATTTACCGCAGCCTTAATATATTTTTTTATTTAAATAACATAACTACAAGAATTATTTTCCTCTTTCTTTGTTTTTACTAGAAATAAAAAAATGTTAAATGTCAATCACAAAGAATTATGTCAAGAAAATATTTTGTTATGTTGTTTTTTGTTGCAAATGCCAAATAAAAGTCACCTATGGTAGTTATAAGGATCAGATTGCCATGCTCAACCAATAAAATGATTTGCTGAATAATTTAACTCTCTTTTAATGATATCAGCTACCAATGCAAAAGGAAATGTTTCCTCTGTTATCGATAAGTAATTTTCATGGTAATTTACTTTGTTTAAAGTGCTTTAAGTCGAAACCTGGTTTTAACTAGATAAATGTAATTTTTATTTCCTTCCACTTACCCATTTTCTTGAGCTAATTTATTGCATAACAATATCTTACTTTAGATGAGCAAGGAAAATTTTAATTTTTGTTGTAAATTTGAAAAATTAGTTATTCTTAATTTTCATTTTATTTTTATTTTTTTAATGTAAACAAATTATTTTAAATTTGCATGATCTCTATAGTTGTATTTTATCAATTTAACATTTTTTTCAATTGACTACTCATTTCTTTACTGAAAATTACAAATTTATTTTGAAATGCAATCCTGGTGGTGAGGGATTCTTGAGTGATTTATAATCAGTTAATTTCAGGATATTTTATATTTCAGTGAAAAAGTAAACTGCATTAAACCTGTGAATAAGTCTTTACCTAAAGTGAAGAAATGAAGAAGAAGTGGATTTCTGAACTGAAATCCCTAAATAATACTTTACTTTCCGTATAAACATAAAATTCTGTTTAAATCTAGAATATGGGAATTATATATATATATATATATATATATATATATATATATATATATATGGTTGGATAGATGTGAGTTTGTGACCCTGGGTTTCACACTTTAGATCGTCAGACATTGACATTGACATTGTCTGACGATCGCTAAAGCGTGAAACCCAGGGTCACAAACTCACATCTATCCAACCAAATATGTTAGCTCTATCTCTGATATTGAGCGCTTTCTAATAAGTACCGCGCATATAATATATAAATAATTATAAATATATATATTTATTTATATTTATATATACTTTTCACACACACACACACACACACACACACACACATATATATATATATATATATATATATATGCAGCTATAATGACCGAACCATACTTACAGTTTCTGTGAGAGAGCGCATCATTTGGTGTAATCAACAGTTCGAACAAGGCAACTAAATCCTCTACCAAAAAAAGCAATGTTTTGTATCGATTTACATGCACATTCAGAGATTGTATCTCTGATACTAATAATAAACCCACTACATATATTGGTTATACTACAATCACGCTCTCTCGTAGAATTACCTGTCACTTTTCTCATCTTAGTTCTATTAAACAATATTTCGTAGAAAAACATCGCCATGTACATGATATCAGACAGATATTAGTTGATAACACAACAATACTCACACATACACACAGCCATCTACATTAAAACGAAACAAACCACACTCAATAAAATTACATTTCAAACTAGTCGCAACATATTGCATTGCATCTAGACATTGATTCTGTTGTAATACTTCGGTCTATCGCGTGGTATGACGTCGTAGAACCGCATCTTGAACTTACGATCTGCGTCTGCTACTCGGCAACGGTTATCGTCGCATAGCAAAATAACAAAATATCAGTTTTATCAGTTAATAAAAACATATCCAAATGTTAGACAATTTTTTCTTTATTTTCACAAGAAATTAAAGCAAACATTTGAACATTAGAACGGCTCATGATCAGACATAATAGGCATTCATTGTCTGTGATATTTAATGTTTCCACACAGATAAGCTGTGATACAGCGAAACAATCTGTCTGTGAATGACAATATATATATATATATTATATATATATATATATATATATATATATATATAATGGGTTGGCTGATAGTATGCCTATCTGCTAGGGCGATTAGTCAGTCTCCGTTGTAGATGCCTGCTCAGTTGCATTTGTGTTTGTTCAACATAGAGAGAGCCCACCTGTGGTTTATACTGCAGCAATAATGAGCAGACCGTAGTTACAGTTTCTGCGAGAGAGTGCATCATTTGGCGTGATCAACAGTTTCAACAAGGCCAGTAAGCTTAAACCCTTTGCATGAGAAGGCTTGACTCAAACGATGACATGGTTTTTAGTCACTTTCAAAAAGACGATAACATCTTGAGATGCGAACAATGATGAGATTCGAACACGATTCTCATGGTCGGTCACGTACGTGAGTTAAGCGTCTGACCGACACAAACATATATATATATATATATATGTGTGTGTGTGTGTGTGTGTGTGTGTATGTATGTGTGTTTATATATATATATATATATGTGTGTGTGTGTGTGTGTGTGTGTGTGTCGCAAGAGGGGAACGTCTCAATATATCTGGAAAATGAAACATACTTTTGTACATTACTTATGTGTTGCTATTTATGTATTTATTCATTTATTGTAACGATACTTTACACATTACCATAAATGCTCGATTATTTAGCATTTTAAAGAAATCATCTTCTGATTAAATTAACTTCTATTTAAACTCCCAGATTCAAGTAAATGACCCACTATTGTTTCTCAAATATATTCTTTTAGTCGCCTATTCGAGAGGGCGTTTGTTTTAAATTATTTTTGAAAAGAAGACTGTTTAGTCGAGAGGGGTCGCTAAATCGAGTATTTAAGTTATGTGAGATGTAACAATGTTTTAATATTGTATTATAAAAATGTGTCATAAAATACAATCAAATTAATTTTCAGACAAACAATTCTGACGGATCTGTGCATCTTGAAGAGTCGGAAAACAGCCCCCCAACAAAAATGACAACCACATTAGCAAGAAAATGCAGTTATCTACGATTAGCAATTTTTAATCCAGATGTTATGAAAAATCAATGTATGCAATTGCTATTAATTATTTACGTATTTTGGGCAGGTAAGTTACAGAATTGTATTAACAATTAATAATCAGTGTTTTATAATTATATAATTAAATAATTATATTGCATATAAAAAAGAGTTCTTTTTTGGAATAAGAATACTAATCTGAATTTCATGTCTCGAGTTGAAAAATAATGGAGAATATTAAATAATTCTACACTATTACTTATGTAGTAGATAATTTTATCAGAATATTTCTTATAGTTACAGTTATCTATTTGCATAATGTAGCAATGGGCATTATACTATGTTATACTGTTTAATCGGACGGAGTCGATGTTACTGAATATCCTTATTAGATATGAGATAATGTCGGTAATATATCTTCTTATTGTGCTCGTCATTGAAGACGCAGGGTAAGGATATGCACACCATACTACGTTCATTTTTCTTCATTTAAATGATAGTCTTTCAACAAACTATTGCTCATCGTAAAATCCGGTATAAATACTTTAAAATATTATTATTGGGTTAGAACAAAGTTTCGTAGCATTTTGTAAATGAAATTCAAATATAATATTTAAGTGTTTGTAAGAATATTCATTTAACCACATATGCGCCATTTTGTTGCGGTATATTTCTCCAAGGCAGCTTCAGGATTCAATCATTCTAGAAATTAGCATCATTCTGAGTGAGGAACTGGTCTAATTAGCTTTAACAGACTTCCAAATAATTAAAGTTCTTCCCCTTTACAGAATTTCGCAGGGATCGAAATAATTTATAATCTGAAGATTGAGTCTAATGTAAGTATAGCCGGTATAATTGGATATCCCAATAGGCCACTTCCGGACGGTTTTCATTGCTTCATATATTCGATTGGTGATGCAGAAATCGCTGTTACTCTACCATGACTTTCAAATCCCTCCGCATACACGGCATCATCTTCTTCAGGCTTTTTGATTAATTGTGGCTCATTTTGTTTTTCCATGACATTGATAGTTCCGTATTGTTGATAACAATCCATTTGTAATCGCCTGTGATGTTTCTTTTTAAAATGGGTTGTTGTATGTTGCGTTTTCAATTTATTTCATTAAGTCCGGAGGCACCCAAATATCGTAGCTATTTTCGCATACAACTTCTTTCAAATGCTTCATATTAGATATAGCTTACGAAGTTAAGCAACTTCGAGCCTGGTCAGTATATTGATGGGGTATCGCTTGAGAATGCCAGCTGCCATAATGCCAGATGTGCCGGTGGTATAATAGATAATGGTTGCGAATTTGTAATCGGAGAACCGAATTTCAATCCCAATTGTGTCCTTTATATTCATTTACTTGTAAATGGCCTTGGGAAGGAATGAATTGACCTCTTTCTCCCCCGAGCTATGTGTTAATTAGTATGATTTGTATCACTGAATCATTATTATTTAAAAAAAAAAAAACAAACATATTATTACTATTGTAAGTTTTAAAAAATAAGATTTTAATTACAGGCTTATAAAAATTGTACATTATTTGTAAGTTTTTTACAAATAATCTATTAATATCAACCGCCTTTAAAAATGTGCAGCAAAATATTTTTGCCTTAAATGAATCGGCTCATTTATACAAGAATGATTAAACACACACACACACACACACACACACACACACACACATATATATATATATATATATATATATATATATATATATATATATATATATATATATATATATATATATATATATTTTCTACGATGACCTCCATTCACGCTATAAAAAATTCATTAGGCTGATAAAATTTTCCTTTTGGAGAATTTTAATGCGAGGGTGGGAACAAATCATGAATCATGGGACCCTGTAGGTCGTTTTGGACTTGGTAAGGTAAACAGCAATGGTTTGCATCTTCTCCAGCTCTGTACGAACCTCAATCTTGTGTTTATGCAATACATTCTTTCAACAAAAAGAGATCCATAAAGTAACCTGAATTCACCCAAGGTCTCACCATGGCCACATTACTGATTACATAATTTGTCATCTACGTGACATTCAAGATGTTTGCAGTCTACGAGTAATGAGGGGAGGCGAATGTATCTTGTAAGGGGGAAACTGAAACTGAGTATAAGGCAACAACTTTCGTTCGTGGGGGGGACAAAATTTCCCAGACGGGTTGATATGAATAAGTTGAGGGATACGATGGTACAGGAAGAGCTTTAAAAAGCTGTGGAAGAATCTCAGTTTGATGGTTCCTGGGAATATTTTAAAAAGACCATATACAACATCAGTGTCGATGTCTTGGGTTTAAGAAAAAAGAAACATCAAGATTGGTTCGATGAGAATAATCTCGAAATCAACCAGCTTCTTAAAACCAAAAAACGATTTTTTATCAGATGTTGACTGCATCTGAAAGTGATCATCAATCATTTTGCAAGTCCTTTAAGGCCTATAGATCCTCTCTTCAACGTAGATTACGCCAATTAAAGAATCAATGGTGGCATGATATTTCCAAACAAATTCATGATGCCTGCAATCATAAAGACTGCAAGGCAATGTATGTCCTTATAAGAAAGGCCGTTGGGCCTCAGTCAATATCTGTAACTCCACTGAAAACTAAGGCTGGAACTTATCTCCTTAAAGATTCCAAAATCATATTACAGTTGTGGACTGAACATTTCTAGGATTTGTTTGATAATTCTTCAGTTGTTGATTTGAACATAATCAACAATCTGCCTCATTCTGATGTTGTGCATGAAATGTCAATTCCACCAACATATGAGGAGACTAGGAAGGTGATTCAAGAGATCAATACTGGGAATGCACCACGACTTCGATGGAATTCCTGTTAAGGTGCTCTTACATGGAGGAAACGAAATGGCAAGAAGAATACACCGTCTAATTTCAGATGTTTGGAATGGCACATATGTTCATCAGAACTGGATTGATGCCATTCTTGTGTCCCTGTATAAAGGGAAAGGTCAAAAGTCAGAATGTATCAAGTACATGGGAATAAGGTTACTTAAAGCTCTTGGTAAAGTTTTTTTTTTTCCAAAATCTTGTTCAATCGCCTCCAAAGTCACATCTGTTCTGAAGTTATACCAGAGAGTCTATCTGGCTATTGTACTGGTAAAGGCATAATGGACATGATCTTCACATCCCGACAACTGGTAGAAAAGTGCATTGAACATGGTGTCCCGCTCTACCAAGTCTTCGTTGACCTAACTATGGCATTTGACAGTGTGAATAGGAAAGACTTGTGGACAATTCTAAGAAAACTAGGCTTCTCACCTGCATTTGTCAGGTTGCTTAAAGAGTTGGAGAGAAACATGAAAGCCAGGTTGAACTTCGATGGTACTCTGTCTGAAACAATTTCCGTTGAGATTTGTGATATATCTGCACCTACTTTATTTCCCATCGTTTTTGCAATGATGCTCACATATGACTTTAGAAACTATAGCATTGGTGTTTATTTGCATTTCCGAAATACCGGGAAAGTTTTTGACATGCAACGATTTAGCGCTTCCACTAAGGTGTTTCAGCAAGTTATTCGTTTGCTTCTTTATGCTGATGATGCTGATCTCGTGGCTTATACCGAAAAAGATATGCAAACTATCATGAATCTTTTTGCGGATGCATGTAAGTCTTTTAGGTTTACTATCAGTTTGAGGAAGACCAAAGTAATGTTCATACCACCGCCTGGTCAACCGTATCGCCAACCAAAAATACCTGTGGATAGCATGAGGCTGGAGATGGTGAATACCTTTGTATACATTGGAAGAACACTTTCACGATGTGGGGCACTAAATGTTGAAATACTTCATTGCATCGAGAAAGCTACTTAATATTATGCCTGCTTGGCGAAGCGGGTGTGGTCTGACAGAAACATCACATTTAACATCAAAGTAAAGGTTTATGAGTGATGTGTTTTAACATCCCTTTTATATATATAATTGTTGAAATAATGACATGTGAAATAACTTTCTCAATTTGCTTTTTTTGTTGTAATTTTCCTTTCAGCCGCCGAAACTGTTTTGTTGTATCTTCCTGCAAAAGCTGTAAACGTTGGTCTCTCAATCGAGCAAGGAGCCTTAATCATGTCCATCTATGGCGCCATGTTTGCGTTTAGCCAATTTATTGTTGGAATTCTTGCTGACTTTATTCATGTCCCAACAAGCTACATTCTGACGTTTTCAATGCTCGTCATGTCAGCCACAACTGTCGCTTTTACATTCGTCCATTCATTCGCTTTTTTCGTCCTGTTCATATCCCTGTTTGCTATGTGCAAGGGTGAGTATTCAGAATTCAAATAATTTTTTTCAAGTCTATTTTGGACCCGATGTTTCGCTGACGGCACATTTAAAATCAAAATTCTTTGCCTATTTCAAACGCTATATTTACATGGAAAGTAGAGAGACAGAAAAAACATTACATTAAAGAGACGCCAAATTTAGGCCTATACACTTTTTCGATTACTCAGGGGTTGTTGTTAGGCATAAATAGAAATTGGATTTCTCGACAGAGACTGCGTGTGTATGTGCGTTTACGAGTTCGCTTGTATATTTTAATTCAATGAGTCCTAAAATATTTCCATAAAATTTTAGTCTATTTTTATAAATCGCTTTACAATTATCCTATTTATTAACGAACAATTTCCTACTAATTCAGTATAATCTTGTAAGTATCAGAATTGTTAGGTTTTAACAATTATTGTTTTGTATTTAATTTTAATAGCTTATTGAGTTTCGTCAATGAAATTCATTTACTTTGCTTCAAAATGATTGAAATCGCGCTCACAACGTAACCGTATACCCGAACCAACGCTTATATATGGCCGTTCGTTACTAACTGGTCGTGTGTTCAGGCTTTGCGTCAGGCACTCAAATTCATTTACTCTACTTGAATTGAACAACTGGACACCGAAGGAAAATGAAAAATTATCACTGAAATATGACGTAATATAAGATTATTTCCTAGCATGGACAGCGATATGATGGCACTTTGCATGAATGCCGTAATTAATGAATTCCGTTGCCGAATGTGACACACGTTTGAATAAAGTAAGAATATAAACCAATCAAAATATAATGTTTCTCCAAACTAAACTAAGGAAATTCATTTCTATACCCAGACCCAGTGTATTGTCCTCAACTCTGAAATTAAGACAAATTCTCGTTTTATTTTGTAGGATTTTCTTCTGTCCTTCGTGTTGTACTTGTGGCATCCATCTTGGGAGTGAAAAAGTTGGAAAAAGGTTTTTCTCCCTTGAGTCTTTTGATTGGTGTGGCTTACATTATCTTTCCGAATGTCGCAGGTACTTGACGCCATTTCTTACAACGAGTCAACCTAACTGATTTGGGTGGGCAGCATTTTGTATAATTATCATCACATGACATTCGGCGTGAGATATTCAATTTTCAATGTGATGAACAAAACAAAACAGATCTCCTTTTATAAAATGTTCATGAATTTTCTTTTTCTATTCCTCGCTCTAAAGTATAAAATCTAAAAATTATGAACGCTCCTCAACAAATTCAAACTGGAATTTATTAAATTGAATAAAATGCTTCTTCCTTAATCTTTCCTTCCGCTTAACAAGTTCTGCCTCACATCTACTTGTCACTTGCTCTGACATCTTCCGAGCAAAATGATAAGTGGTAAAATCACTGAGGGAAAAATCAACTATCGTTAAATTTTGGTGACTCAATTAATAACGCAACCAAAATTAAAACCGCTTCTACTTTGAAGCATGTTTATATGATACCCGAAAGATTTTTCTTCTTGATTTTTCAGGTGCTTTATTCGACGCAACACAGTCTTTTGACGTTATCTTTTACTTTGCTTCCGGTTGTTTATGCGTGGGTGGCATTACGTCAAGCGGAATCATCTACATGCAACGAAAAAAGAAATTCTACGAATAGCCACAACAGAAATATTTCCAAACAATAACCAATTTAGTTGCTTTTATACTAATAACCTCTTGTTTTATTTGTTTCTTTTCTACTATGATTTTTGTTATTTCACGCCTTCCGCATATGATTTAGGCCGAACAAATGCCTTATGCGTGATTTTCCTTATTTTGTAAATGCGATCAAATGTTACCAGCCAAAAAAAAAAAAAGATTAATAAACAATCTAAAAGGCAACACCTTATAAAACTGAATGATTTATCTTGTCAAGAAATTAGAAATAAAAGAGAAACATTGAGAAATTACTCAGATTTAATTAATTTATTTTGTTGAACTCGAAGAAATAATGTAAGATGCAACCTGACTGGATCATGACAATTTAATCTAGTCAGCATGCATCTTTCATTATTTCTTCGAATTCGAAGCAAACATTGATAAAGAATCACATGTGACAACAGGTGAAGGGACCTTTACCTTAATTCAGAAGGATTCCGAATTTTGCATCAAGCGTTTGAGATGTTGTAAATTATTTCGTACTTCAGCTTCTTATTTCAGATAATGAACAGAACTGACGAGAAAAAAAAACGTGTTTATTCAGCACTAATTATAAACCAATTTTATATTTTCAGTAAATTTAAACGAATTCACACTGGCCTAGACGTTGCTATTTATGATTGTATTAAAAAATAATAATTTTTGATTAAAGAAAAAAACTAAGAGAATGGTTTGTAGGACTTTCAAACATTACTAGTTTTTTTTTTCACGAACGTAATACAGGCAGCCCTTGATTAATGCTCATCTAATTGATGCGCTAAAATTTTTATATACCAAAATTCGATTATTGCATACCTACTCAATTTGTGCGGTAAAACATTCTTCAGTTTTAACCATAGTAATTGAAAATTTATTTTTTTTAGTTAACGATGTACACATTATCAACACTAATGGAGGGATTCCTGTATTTTTAATAAATTGTTTTATACAATAATCTACCCAATATAATGCTCTGGGGATCTAGGATTGCTGTTAAAATGGTTATAATGAATGATAGGAACCAAAGAAGAGGTGGCCGGAAGTGAGAATTATAAGGATAGTCAAAAAGTGACCACTGAATTGGAGATTGTGTTTCCCACAAAGTAGCTGTCATTGGGAAAAGATGTCCGAGTTGAACATGCTTCTTACGTTCGGAACAATGAGGAAATGATGTCCTTGGGAAAAGCTGTCCGAGTTGAACATGCTTCTTACGTTCGGAACAATGAGGAAATGATGTCCTTGGGAAAAGCTGTCCGAGTTGAACATGCTTCTTACGTTCGGAACAATGAGGAAATGATGTCCTTGGGAAAGGCTGTCCGAGTTGAACATGCTTCTTACGTTCGGAACAATGAGGAAATGGTGTCCTTTCAACTCCGTGGAATAGCGTAGACTGTTCTTGATGTAAAGGTTTGAACTGGAATATCTAAAGGGTGGAGCTCATCCAAATATTTGCCATGAATAGGCTCTCGATTCGAGAGTTATGTTGTTCTTGTCTAATTTAACTCTTGTGGAGGTAAAGTATGCCAGAAGTGGGTCACGTGGATTTTAATTTATTGTTTTTACTACTGTGTTGGGTGTTTTGAACGTTATTTCTTTCGATTGTAATAATTTTAATAATTGTTCACTGATACAAATCTTACTAATTAACCCATATCTGGGGGGAAGAGTTGGATTCACAGTTTTCCCATGAGTATTCATGCATAAGTAAATATAACGAACCTGAGTGAAATTGGAACTCTGCCCTCCGATTTACATTTGGAAAAATGATGAATTACACCACACACACATCCAACCTTACATCACCATGAATTCCCAAGCAACCACTCATCTAGGTAATGGCCAGGCTCCACATTGCTCAACTTCGGTGATCGTACCGGAACAGGTGTTTAAAGGTGATATGGCCGGAAGCCTCCATTTCTTGTGTGATTTCTGGCCTCATTTCTTTTGTATTTATTTTAATTTTCCCATTTTTAATTTAATTTAATTTTAGGTTCATTTTATTTTCTCTTTCATTATTCTTATCTATCTATCTATCTATCTATCTATCTATCTATCTATCTATCTATCAAAGAATTAAATATTATGTAAATATGGCGGATAGTTAACATTAACCCTAGACTTGGAAAGGTTAAGATTCTAGTGGTTGGGAAAGAATCCTCTTCGGATGAATTTGACCGATTGGAACTTATTTCTTTCCAAATGAATATGAAAGCAACGGGGATTCAAATTCCAGTCTTTGGCTTTATTTCATTTACGCACAAATAACCTGGAGTAAAAGTTATTAATCTAACTCTTCTTCCCCTATGCCCGCCACCAACTGTGCATTAAATAATAGAAATTGTATAAGCAATAGTAATTGTTATCCCCAATAAATTTGCTAGTATAATATTCACGCCTAAAAATAAGAATAATTTTTACAATCCAAAAATAAGTTTCGACATTAAATAACCCTCAAAGAGTTGCTAATTCGTAAAAAGCAAATCAACAATTTCAATAGTAATTTCCTAATTTTCGTAGAATAACATTTTGACTTAGAAATACTTACTTAGAAATGAAATGTCTCAGTTCTAGGTGTAGGCACTTCGGATGTTGAGATGGAGAAGAATTTCCAAGCAAAGCATTCACCCTTATCGGCTGTGGATATCAGGACTTCGATTTGATTGAATACAGGAGAGATTGGAGATTTGCTATTGTTCAACACACTCTTGCAGAACTGACAATAGTCGCTAGAACCAAACATGCGAGATGCAATATGTTGTTTCATTCTGTCAGCAAACAGTAACTTTGCTTTATTGATGACACGCTTGCATTCATTACGAGCAGAAACAAAGAGACGTTTGTTGCAATCACTCCAGTACAGATGAAAGAAGTGATTCTTGTGGCCTACAGCGGCTGAGGAAGCAGGTGAGAACCACGGAGATGAGCACGATTTACCTTGGTGTTTCCTTGCAGGAATGAAAGCATCGATGCCGGCTTTTACCCAGGAGGAGACCTAAGATGCGCGTTTATGAACAAGATAAAATCTACGTTCAAAGGCACCTGGCGAAGGAAATCACAGAGTGAGTCCCAGTCCGCACGTTGACAACAGAAAGATATTTTGTTAGTAGGAGGTCTATGGTTTGAGGTGGAGTAGAAGAACCTGTTTACAGACACTTGTGCGTGATCAGAGTTGCCAAGATGGCAGAGATACGTAGCGTGGCCAAAGTCATGGATGGAGGCAAAACAGAGATCGAGAAGAGAAGTGTTATATAAGCACCCATGACTCTGTCTTACGCTTGGAGCCATAATGAAGGGCAAAAGTCCCCACCACCAAGACGACACTAACGAAAGATAATGAATGTAGCACACAATTCAATATGGCGTACAGCCGGTGAATAAACAACGCCGTCTTCCTCATATAGCGCTGCGTAACAAGGTATTATATTATGGGAGCTGGAGCCGTAACCACAAAATGCCGTAGGTCAGGTGTGACGTAACTCGAAGACATTGCTGTTTTGATGTGTTGACAGGTCTAATGTTGTTCTACGGAGACTATATCTCTGAAACATAATTAAAGTAAATATGGTGAATTGATTGAGGCATGCGGTGCAGGTTCTCAGCACAAGTCTTCGAGTCCCCAAAGCCATCCGCTTATATGTACTTCGGCTGAAAACTGGCGTGGGAAAGAAGGCTTCTTATGATTTGTTGATTCTTTCATTTTCCCATTAAGTCTAATAAGGGTCTTTATGCCCTATTTCTGCTTTCGTAATCAACTTTCCAAATTTTGAAAATCATCCACCTTCTCGGAAATACTTACAGGGATACCTCCTACCCTAGCTCCAACCGCCTTCACTTCACATTCCACACCATCACGCCGTACAGGCGGTGCTAAATTCTCCTCCTATCCTTCTATTCTGCTAGCATTCAATATCAGCCCTCTTCCCAGAGCATGCGTAACTGTTACTCATTTCTAAAGCACGTAGGCGGAAGGTAGGAATTAAATACTAGTCATTAAGTTTAATTCTAATATTCTTTTTTTATTATTTTCTTAGAATTATCTTTCTCCAGCTAAAATATAAACCAAACAACCAATGACAGAAATTGCTTATATAAGTTCAGCCTAAATACTACATCCGAACCGTTAATTGAAATGCGTTCTCGTTTAAACATCTGAGCAAGAAATAATATTGTTTCCTGATTTGTTTTTGTTAACGAAAATATATTTGTTTGCCTATGGCAAGAAAACAACTGTATACTATGAGTCTTCATAACATCTGGATCAAATATGATGTTGCGGAAGAAATGGCATTTGCTTGAAAATTTCATTTTCATATTTTTTTGAGAATCATATTCAGAATGCTCCCACAGTGCAGAGTCGGCAGAATTGTTGGTCTGAAAATAAAGTTGATTGGATTTTATGACAAATTTACCTAATCAAGCTTAAACATTGTTATTTATTTGTGCTAAGTAATCTATAAATTATCTTTAAAACTTGCTTGAAATTTTAATATATAAAAATATATCAGATATATAACAAATAACTTCTGGTTTCATTTTATCATCTTATTTTGTAGCCACAGAGTTTATCATTGAGATTTATTTTAGAGAAAATTGTCATGAATAATCTTAAGACATTTTTGGATGTGTGCACCTAACTGAATCCGCCGTTAGAATCGATGACTGCTTCAATACGACGTGTCTTAAACGTTGCCATTATCGAATCAGATGATTCTTGTCTATTTATACATTGTTAGACTTTAAAAATTTTATAGAGCTATGGGAGCGTTGATTGACTTCCCTCTCAACTATGTTCCATCTATTTTAGTCCAACGGTTTCAAGAATAGCCTATTCAATATCTCCTTATATCCAGCAGCATTAACACTTTAACCCTGAGGAAAGAAGTCGGGAGACATGACATCTCCCTCATTGCTTACGGCTCTCAGATACCAAAAACCTTTTGCGAATGACCGTTAGAAAATACTTAGGGTCTGCTCATCACCATCTGCCATTCCCTCTTTTGAACTTTTGGTCCTGAACAAAGTTTCTCGTATCAGAGAAAAAAACAGCAATACCATGCTCATGATGTTTCAACTTGTTCAACTTTACCCTCATCAGACGCTTATCTTTTGTTATTGCATACAAGAACTGGCCTCTTTCTATTACATTTTTTACTGTAATCTTGGAGCATCCCTTGCTAATGGCTTTTTTCTTTGATTTACAGGCTACGGGCCTTTTTGACCCCGGATTTGATTTTAAAAACATTATAATTGATAAGTCAAAAATAGAGAAAACGTTTAAATTAAAGCAATGACACATGAAAAACACAATGAAGATATTAAAAAGATTATCTGTTTAGGAATTGATGGCAATATAAATAAAGAACGTTTGTTGTATAAGAAGTTTTGGGTTTTTAATCTTTCGTTTTTATAAAGTTGGAATCTTCTATTTCTATACAGTCAAAATATTCTGTTTTTATACTGTCAAAACTAATGATGACGTCTTATAAAGTAATATTCTCTGCATAAGGATTATACAATGAGAAATTCAATTAAAATGACTTCTTGAAAATGCATTTACCTTTCATCTTTTTAAGCGGTCGACATAACGCACCACATGCAACAATATTCAAAATTAATCCGCTTATTATAAGAAATGTTCCCCTTATGCCATAAAAGGAAATACTTTGTTCCAACAAATAATTAAGCGCAAATCCACCGATTCCACATCCACTACTAGCAATTCCCACAGTCAATGTTCTTTTCTGTTTAAAGTAAGATCCAACAATGGTGTTGCCGGTAAAATTAGATATTCCGAGGAAACATCCTGAAAAAGAGATTAACAAACATAACGATTATCACAATAATTAAGCAATGTTATTTAAGTAAGAATACTTATAAATTATATTCTCAGCCCGGTTCACTTCCAAAAATCTAATCATGTTTGTTGAAATATCGGATATCTTGAAAAGAAGAAGCCGAGAACTTTTCAACATACCTTTTTAAGTACATAAAGGTTTGATAAAATGCTCTTGTTATGAAAGGTACAACACTTGTTTGTTGCCAATCTATTTGTACCCGATTGAAAACATAATAAATTACACCTTCCGTCCTCTTGGAATTGATGTTTAATCCTGTAACAAGAGTGCTTGGAAGAATGGTTTATTCTACCATTTATGTTTCTACAGTTATGGCCATTCTTATATCCATGATATAACAACACTGATATTTCACAGACGTAACTGAATAGCTGAATAGAAAAAGAAATAACAAGTATGCTTAGTTTCCCGTACACAAAATTATATATATATATATAACATATACACGTGTCCCACACCGAGGAATTATAATATATGTGCAACAACAAATGTGGTGTAAGAGAGGGGAACCTTACTTACGCATAAGCGTATACTCTAGCTCTTAAAAGGAAAAAATGCATTAAAATTAACACATGAATTAACTATGAATAAGATATATGATGAAACCCTATTTTCTTAAGAAAAAATCTTTCTTTCGATGCGTAATGAATTTTTACAAGAATAGTTTTCATTTTAATTATAATAAATTATTAAGTTTTACATCTCATAAATCTTTTGTACTGGTTAGGTGATAATGTTATTAAGTAAAACTTTATTTACTAATTATAAATTGAAAAGCGTAGTGCAAATCACGACATCCAATTTTTATAAAGATCTTTGATTTTTCGAATTTTTTGTGTTCTTAAACGTACCGATTTTTGTAAATATTGATGTCAATACACGACATCATCAGAAAATAATAGCGGTTCTCTATAGTAAATTTAATGCCAAGTACCTAAAATTCAATAAAACATTAGATTACGGAGAATATTTTCCTACATATTAAAGTATATTGAGCAATTAAAAATTATATAAATTAAAATTTAAAGTTAAAGAATACTGAGTAGATAAAAATTATATAAAAAGGCGCTCACATTATATTCCTCAAGTAATTATTACAGGTATGTCCATAGTTATATATAAAAAATTAAACACTAAAAAAATTACTATCTTTAAAAGAAAAAAATAACGCTAAAACAATAAAATAAAATAAAAAGAACAAACGTCGTTGAAAGAAATAAAA